GCTTGTGTGCTACTAATCAGGCGACTTCTAAAGGTAGGTTATTGCTCAGGATTTTATTTAAAATTGTCAGAGTAAAATCGACAGGATATGAAAAAGGCACCCTTTCATTTGTAAAAAAAAAAAAAAAAGCTTCCCTGTTGCTTATTAACTCTGCACTACATCAGATAAAATCACGATAATTTGGTCAGGTTATGCCAAACTTTTATTTGCAAATACCATTTCAACTCATTTTACCATAAAATATTATCTTTAAAACAAATTAATGCATTCCTTGACAACTTTCTAGAAACTAGCAGCTACTTAGTTAAAATGAAATTAGCAATAAAACTTACATTAATTCAATGAGTTTATTCAAGTAATGTAGCAATCTAATAATCTTTTTTTGAAATTATAATTTCAAGTCAACAAAAAAAATTTCTAGTTCAAATTTTTTTTATATTTTTACTAGATAAAACAGGAAACACTGATACAAGCAAAATTTGTTGTAAAAAGAAAAAAAATAGATTTCATCTTATCTCTGCTTAACTGCCACATTGCTATCAGTCTGATCATGTTCCGCGACTTGCAAGAGATGTTTCCACGTCCTCCTTTCTTTTCCAGAACCCGTCAAAAGAAAAGTAATATAGCACAGGGTCCAGGCAGCAGTTCACACTTGCGAGGCAGCTCAGCTCGGGCCTCAGGTGATCAAAGAACACAACCAAAGACACCGGCAAGAAGAAAACGGTGAACATCATCAGGTTCATGGCGAAAATCAGCATGACGTTCAGTTTGTTATTGACCTTTGCAGATTCACTTAGATGTCTTTGGAGAGTGCAGGACACCATAACTGTGGAGATGATGTTAACTGTCAGCATGGTCAGCAGCAGCACAAGCTGGAAATAACCAATTGTGAGTTCCAGTATCTCGCCATTTCTTCTGCTGGTTTGATTCGTATTTGCTGAATCAAAACATGTTTGATTGTCAAAATTCCTCAGAAAGACCACACTCTCTGGGACATTCACCAACACTACAATCGCCCAGATGAGAACAGAGCCCTTCACGGCGTTGACTGATGTCCGAACAAGCCTCGACCTCAACGGATAAACCACAGCCAGCAGCCGGTCCACACTGATAAAGGTGATGAAGATGGAGCTCGTGCGGATGTTATTGCGAAAGAGCATGGTGAACCAGACGCACCACATCCCACCCAGATGCCAGCTGTTCATAGCATAAAAGTAGATCCTCATGGACAGAGAGAGGATGAGCAGCAGGTCGGATACCACCAGGTTGGCCATGAAGACGACGCTGGGCGACTTTCGTCCATGGTGACGGAGCAGAATCCACAGAGATATGATGTTGAGTGGCAAACCAATAGCAATAATGGATCCATAAATAATCACATACACCAGGTTACTCATGTCTTGCTCTGTTCCATTTGCTCTCTTGCTCTTGCTGATGAAGAGGTTTGGCTTCTGAATGAAAAGCAGAAATGCCCGAGAGCGTAGCTGCGACACAAACCACAAACGCCTCGTTTCAGCACACCGTCAACAAGATTTGTGACAGTGAAGTGGAGGGGGCATTGCGTGCTATGAAGTTTTTAGCGCAGTGAAACAGGAAGCAAGAGAGCAATTCTTTAGCAAGAGAGGAAGGTTTCAAGCATCGTCGTGCAAAGGTGGCAGAAAGAGTGTGTGGGAGATCAAAGCCATGGAAGATTTCTGTGCTCTAAAATCCTACACGTGGACAAGAAAGAGACAAGAATAGAACAAACTATTTTTTGTTCCTTTCATGTTAGCTTACATGAACAAGCATTTAAAATGAACAAGTTTGGTGTTATTTTAAAAGTTCTTCTACTTTTCCTCTATCAAAGCAAAGGCCTACACTTAGATCACCTAAATATTTTTGAGCTTCTTTAGGGTAATTTAATATGCTCTACATGTGGATAGAGAGTAGAATGAAACTTGCAAACACACAAACAGAATGGACATCCCCCAGTTGGCACTTGTACATTTGCAAGTATAAGTATTGACAGATTTTTGGGCTGTGGAAGGAAATCAGAGAGCATGGGGCAACACGCATACCCACAGGAAGAACGTGTAAACTCAGCATCGGTGCTGAAACCTAAAAACCAGAGTCCTACAAGTTATGAGTCAACAGTGCTAACTGCAGGAAACACATCGCTGCTGAGCTCCTGGTATTCGAGTGTTTGATTTTAAAAAGTTTTACTGAGATGAATGTATTCATAACATTGACAGTAATATGTAGAATTTATAAATTTTACATGTCAAAGCAAATCTAAATGCAGGCAACGTTTTTTTTTTCCTTTATGCTGAAAGAAAAATGTAAAACTTGATCAACCTCGATCAAAATCTTCACTAACATTGTAGATGTTGCAGAGAACATTCTTTCTGTTACTTGGTGATAAATCCCAGTGTGATGGTCAGAGAGCAAAGTCAAAAGTGACAACATGCGTCAGGCTGTAGCTTCATGTTTATCTGCAAACTAAGCAGTTTTGAGTGGTTTTATTATGAAGTATCGCTACTCTTACTTGAGTAAAATTTTCGGATACTCTATCCACTGTGAGTAACTTCACTGAATGAAAAACAAGCTTGTTTTAACCAACAAAATTCACCTGCAGTTTTTGTTAAGTTTTACATCAAAAGAAGTTAATTTGGAAAAACTGCTTTTTTTATTTATTTATTTTTTTTTTTACCTGATTTTATTTGGTAGTTATGCTATTCATATCTTGGTCTTTGAAGTACCAAGATTTCCACATGTTTTTATATTTTCATCCATCTTTTAATGTAATGTTTAAATATTAAACAGTTGCTGTTTTGATCATCAACTCACTACTTCAGCAGTCTTTTTACTAAATGCTTTTTTTTTACTCTGAGAAATTTCTTCAACGGTAACTTTTTTCTTTTACTTGAGCAAAAATATCTTAAAATAGTGCTACTCTCACCTGAGTAAAATTTTTTGGTAATCACCTCTGCTCCCCAGCAGAAACAACAGAAACCAGATGGAGACTTGGCATAACGTACAAGCTGCAATAGTTGTGATACAAGTCCAACTTATGGATAAATTTAAAAGTAAGGCAATAAAGTTGCATGTTTTCAAAAATGGATCCCCAAACAGACAGCTATAAGCGTGTGCAAACCTGAACCTCACCCACATGCGTGCAAACAAACACACACACCAAAACACAGCTGCCACCAAATCCTTAGTTTAATGAGTAAATGTTGTGACTCGTTTTGTATATAGAAGCTAAGATTTGGAACAACAATTTTATAAGTGTAAACCCAGATACCACACAACGTTAAATCAACGTTGAATTATAGTTAGAATCGTTGATTTTTGGTTGAAGTCGACAAATGACGGTGGATCAACCATCAAACAACCATCCAATCAAACCGTTGAAACTGTGACATTGAATCAATGTTGTTTGGTGGTTGAAATTTGATGTCTGAAATGCTGAAGTCTGATTAATGGTTGATTTTTGGTTGAAGACGACAAATGACGGAGGATCAACCATCAAACAACCATCCACCTCTAGCCAAGTAACCAATGTTGAAACTGTGTCATTGAATCAATGTTGTTTTGTGGTTGAAATCTGATGACTGAAATGCCAAGATTTGATCAACGTCTGATCAATGTTGAATCAATGTCAGCTGTTTTGCCGCACCCCTTCCCCTCCTCTCCTTCTCATCAGCGCTCTGGGTCAGAGCCTTTTATTACTGAGCGGGGGCTATCACATTTAAATTAACCACTGCAGAGGATAGTGGGTGGAGATTCATTTCTGTACATTTTCTTACTTGTTCATAACAATTCTCACTGACTGCGTGTGTGTGATATATTGACACACAAACATCTACAACTTACTACAAGGAGTGGAGCGGTCCACCCCCACCGTTACATGAGTGGGATGTCCCAAACACACAGCTGATTCGCTGTTGGCGTGTTGGCAAAAGATGTTAATTCAATGTTGAATTATTATCACAAAGGTTGCATGTATGGTTGAGGTCGACAACTGACAGTGGATCAACCATAAAACAACCACCCCACTCTAGTCAATTAACTAACGTTGAAACTGTGTCATTGAATCAATGTTGTTTTGTGGTTGACATCAAATAAATGAAATGCCAACGTCGAATCCAGTGTGTTTCAGCACTAGTCCTCCAGGCCCTACAAGTTTTAGGCATTTCCCTAATTCAGCACACGATATTAACTGACGTCTGATCAACAGGGTTTTGCTGAACTGAAAACATGCAGGTCAGTTTGATTGAGGACAAGGTTTGGGGAAGAACTACCCAGTTAGCACACAATGTTAATTCAATGTTGAATTATTATCACAAAGGTTGCATGTATGGTTGAAGTTGAAAACTGACGGTGGATCAACCATAAAACAACCATCCAATTCAAACCATTGGATGGTTAGAATTGGACCAAAACTGTGTCATTGAATCAATGTTGTTTTGTGGTTGAAATCTAATGAATGAAATGCCGAGGTCTGATCAATGTTGAATCAATGTCAGCTGTTTTGCCATACACCTTCTTCCCCAACCCCCCTCCTTGAGCTCTGGGTCAGAACATTTTATTACTAAGTGGGGGTTAATCATGTTTCAAATTAAGCACTACATGTTGAGAACATGTTGAGGTTGTGATTCCTTTCTGTACATTTTCTTACTTGTCTGTAAATATTACTAACTGCATAATGTGTTGACACAAAAAACATCTAGAGGTCTCTACAAGGAGTTGTACAGGCCACCTCCCCATTTTTACACTAGTGGTTTGTCCCAACCAAACAGCCACTTTGCTGCTGGCTTGTTTGCAACCGGCTTCTGAATTGAATTCTCCTCTGAGCAGTTTTATGGTAAGTTTTTCAATATTACTTTGATCTTAAATGTGTTTATTGAAAAATAAGGGCATTGTTTTGTGCCCATAGTAATCCTGATTATTTTGAGGCAAAAAAGACATTTTTAATAATTGAGGTCATGTCTCCTTTTGTATTATTTTCATTTTACCTACCACTCCAGGCCTAAGTATGAAATCCTGTGAGATTTTGTGGGATTTGAGTTTTTAAAATAGGGCGGGGCCTATTGTTTGGTCTGGGAGAGCATGTGGTGGACAAGGAAGTGTAAGGCTGGCTGCTCCAGGTGGGCTTTAAATTGTTGTGATAGTAATCACTTGTTTTTAACTTTTTATTATGATGTGCTTAGGGATGTGCTTAGATGTGCCTCTGTTCCAGAACAGCTGAGTTAGATGATTGCATGTCCATCTGCAGCCATCAAGAAGTGCAGAAGGTTGTTCATCATCCACAGATTCAATCCAGGTGTGGCAGAAGGAAAACACTTAAAACATGTAAGGCAGGTGAAACACTGAACTAAACCTGCTAATGACTGATTCAGTCTGTTGATTCTTGGATTGGTAACTGGTTAAACTGAACTGGACTATTATTACTTGTGTGGGATCTTGATCAGCATATAGACACTTTTTAAGGAATTTAATCAACTTATTTGGAAATATTTGTAGTTGATGGAAGATTGAACCAGCTATTTGATTGAAGTTTATTCTGTATAAATTATAAATATTTTTTCCAACTACAGTATATATCACTTTTTGCTCTATTTATTTGTCTCTGGTGTGTTAAATAAACCCTGATCCTCCGTGAGTTTTATCGTTAGGTTTTCTGATAAACAGCCTTTATTTTAAATGTTGATTCCCTCATTTTAACATGAGTGCAGCATCATAAATGCTACACTATCCTGCAGCTTGAAAGGTAAATGTAGTTGTATACGTAAACATTAAGATAAATATTAATGAAAGATTAAGATAAATATTAATTTAACAGTAAGTGTACATGGGGAACTATATGGTTTGCATTTGTTCTCAGACCTGTAACCAGTACACCGTTTAATCTTTCAATGTCTTTCAGAACATTTCAGATGTTTATCATCTTTCTAACCGGCACCTTCCTCACTTTCATTTTTGTGTTTTTCAGCCGTTGCTCTGCAGTTTGACCGAAAGCTGACTCTTGAGGACTGCAGTGAAACTGTCAAGAAGTGGCCTCATTACACGCCAGAATGAGAGGAAGACATCGCAAGGAATCAAAGTGACGCCAACCAGAGTCAAACTGGGGTTACCACAACTTGTACTGTTTCCCTGGTTCATACAGTACAAAGCTTAACTTCATGGACTCTGTTCTTCTGTGGACAACAGACTGTTGTTTTGACAGTCAAAAAGGAATCAAATATGTTTAAAGATCTGTCCCTCTTTTCTTAAATAAAATGTTATATCAAACCCATGTTGTCATTTTTAACCTTTTGTACACAGTTTACCCATCATCTGCCAATAATATAGTGTGTTTAACACCAGTGAAGAAACTTTTAGTGGCATGTTATGATGTAGACCTATCAGACCTAAAAATGTACATAAATACTTAGCTTTCATTCAATATAAAATCAACCCAAATCTGCATGTAGATCCACACTCAGATGATGGTTGAATCAACGTTGATTCCTAACTGATTCAATGTAGAATCAACACAGATATGCATGCAGATCCATAGTCAAATGAGTGTTGAATCAACATTGATTCAATGTAAAATCAACACAAATATGCATGCAGATCCACGTTCAGATGAAGGTTGAATAAAAGTTGATTCAATGTAGAATAAACACAAAAATGCGTGCAGATCCACATTTAGATGAAGGTTGAATCAACGTTGATTCCTAACTGATTCAAAGTAATAACACAAATATGCATGTAAATTGACATACAGATGATGGTTGAATCAACATTGATATAATGGCAGTTATGGTTGAAACCCTAACGTTGATTCAACATACAAGTAACATACCACTTTCAATGTTGTTTCAATGTCAGCGTTCAACGTTGATTCAATGTTTCTGGCTGACATTGATTCAATGTTGTTTCAATCATTCTGTGCTTTCTGGGAATATTTTGTCACTCCCGCAGGAGTGCTGATAACATCACCAGGGGAGATCCTTGTGAAAAAATGATTTGAGCATGTTTGAGAACCACACTGAAGTGGATGGCTGAAACAAAAAAAAACAAAAAAAAAAAAAACAGCAGTAGTGAGAAAGGGGACTCTCATCTCCTTCACACACTACTTTGCTGGAAACCACAACAAAACTGTTGTGCGTTTCTTTTATGCAACTCACACTGTCCTGACACATTTCCAGTCAATACTAAAAAAAAAAAAAGTCATACGACTTATAGGAAAGGGTAAACAGTGTCACAGAAAACATCAGTACATTCTTTTGGAAGAGTTTTTTTTTTTTTTTGAGGATAGCATCATCTTTATAGCAAGTTTTTTTTAATTTGAAGGTTGTGATGGTCAATGTTGTTGTCAACTACTGGTAAGGAATGGGTTTTACAATGCTTTGATTGGACTTGCATAGTTTATGTGAGACCACAGTTTTTTGAAACAGAGAAATCTGCTTAATAAAACCTTCTGAATTAGGGTTTTCAAAAAGTGAGTTCCATGATATCTGATTTTTCAGACTGTTCAGTTTTCAGCCTCTGTTGCAGCTTGTAAAATAACACAGCCTGTCTACTGCCCCCGTGCACTCTGTAGAGACGATTCTGCCAATATTTTAGATCATTCAGTGTACTTTTTTCTGTAAAACTCTCCATACATAACATACTGATTTTCAGTGAGCTAGTTCTCATCTATTTGCTTACATCGTTGAGGTGCTTTGCTGCCAGTTAACTTGGAGTTATTCCTTCTGACTTCAAATCAGCAGGTAGATTGAAATCCAAAAGCAAACAGAAGCAAAACATGTTGGAAAGTAAGTATTTGTAGGTAGATGTTTCTTTGTTATGTTACATCTTGCCTTTGAATCCTTCGAGCATGATTTCCCCATAGCTCAGGACAAAGACATGCGTAGTAAATACAAAAGAAAATGTACTCCCAAAATTAAGTCGTTTTTTTGTTAGTTGTTCCTGTTTTTTGCTTGCAACTGTGAGAAATGTCAAAGATGGATCAACTGGTTTTGCATCTTTTGGTGCCGTCAGATTTTTTAATATGTATATTTCATAAAGTCTGTTTGTGTTTTTAGGTCTGACCTTTCTCTTGCCCACTACCATTTCACTTCAAGTGATTAAAAAAAAAAACAAAAAAAAAAAACACACTGCCCACCCTAGAAAATGACTGTTGATTTCACTGACACTTTGGGACTAATCTTTCGGGGAAAAACAAACATGCAACCTACCTATCTCATACTTCTCAAACTGTTATTTTAAACAGTTTGACAAGTATGGCAAACTGTAGTACACTGATGTGACGGCAACAGAGCGCAGTTGCAGCAAGAATTTTATCACGGGGTCATATCTTACTACATGGCGTTTGTGTGTTCTTCTGTGCATGTGTGTTACCTCTTGAGGCACTCCAGGTTCCTCCCACAGGTTGCTTGTTCTGTGTGTCTCTCTGTTGGCCTGTGATGGATCTAACTGGGATTTAATTTGCCTCATGCCCATTTGTCCCTGGAGATAGGCACCAGCCCCTCCCCCCTGCAAGGATAAACTAGTTAAGACTATTGATCGATAAAATACATAAACACGTAACGCTGCAAACAATTTACAAGAACTGTACCTTAGTCTGACTTTATTCACCCGAACTGAAGATTCACATGAACTGAAGTGCTTGTTGATAACATGTGATAAAGAATGCAAAATTTCACATATCTGTTGAAGGCCACAATGTGAATGCATTTCCTCTTCTACAGCCTGGTTAACAGGTTAACTTGAGTTTATAATATTAAACACAAGGTCATCCAAGTACATCGATTTTTACCTATATATATAGTCACCAACAACCTCATACCTCATGTCATGTGTGATAAGTTCATGCCAAACTGATGTTGGTGATACAAACAAAGCCTAACAACGCAAGTACAAATCAGAGGAAATGTTTAAAGTGAGTACCAAGAAGTGTGAAGCAAAGGAAGAAAGACAGACAAGTTGCCTCCAAATGTCTGAAACTGTTAGCCACAAAAGAACTTTGATATTCCTTTTTGATTATTGTAAGAGATAAGATAAGAAATGTTTATAAATGTTGTGTTTCAAGATGTTAACCTCATCCTTTTTGAGAATCAAATTCTAATATTTTAATGACAAAAAAAGGTTTCATGATTTTAATTGTTGAGAAGAATTGCAGCTTGCAGAGGTCAGAAACTCAGCTTCTTTAATTACTTCAAGTGGGACCACGAACTGACAGACTCGTGAACTGGTAGCTCAGGTAAACTCAAATGACAAATTGAAACGACAAGGAACCCTGGACACAAAACCGAAAGACTAAATACCTACGGAACATAATCAGAGCATGAGGCACAGCCGGTACAATCAAAGAGACTACAGGGGAACCAATTAACCAATAAATGGGAAAAAACAGCACAGAAGAGGGCTAAAAGTAACATACAAGCAATACAAAACTCCAAATCCCCACAAAAGGCTCAACATTAGAGGTGTTGTTCTTATTCATCCTACGCTGTTGCTCTGACACCTCTGTTTAGATCTTGATCAATTTGGTAAACACCGCAAGCACAAGCTAACATGCAACCTTACAGAAGCAGTGGTAGACTAATGTCTTTGGTATTCTGAGAAAGGAAGTTGATTTTTCATAGTCTCCATCTTCACTTCGTTGGCAATTAGAAGAGCAGAAATCTTGGCAGTTTTACACTAGAGCATTGCAGTGATATTTATTCCAGTACACTATACAAAAAAGAGTTTCAAAACTAACTTAATTATTTACCTAAATTAATGTACGCCTTTCTTTTGTAAAATACATAATTGCAGAATAAAACCAATATAAACTCACTTTTCAAACATATAAGGTTTGTCTCGGTCTAAACAGATTGCAACATTATGGTAGGCGCTGCATTCTTCCTGCCTGCCCCAGTTGGTTTTCTTTTTTCTACTTGGTAAATTCCACAGCTGTTGTTGATTTGCAAATACACCCAAGTTTCCTCTGAAACCCAAACACCCGAACGCATCACATCACCTACACGTTTTACATTAGTGGTCTTTTTCTTTTGTGGGAACCGAATGCACACATCTAACATGTGTCAGAGGGCTGCTTACTACATGATTACATGATGTGAGCAGACAACAAAAATGAGGAAGCAACAAGATAGTTTTTTTTTTTCTTTGTAATAAATAAGACAAAAGTATTTTAGTCATCAGTTCTTCAAAATTGAGGCAGTCATTACTGAACAAACCAAATTTAATTAGAATAAACATGTTGTACCTGTAGGGTATTTCTTTTTGATTGCGTCTAGATTGTCAGTGTTTATGGAAATGTAGAACTTGCGAAGACTGAGACAGTGAGACCTGACAGGAAATGTAGCAACTGACTTCAGACAGAGATCAATTTCAAGGTGTCAGAATGCATTTTTTTTATATATCTGTTCAAAGTAACATTGTTACTTGATTGTGCTATAAAATATGTGCCTGCAAAATATATACTGACCCTTTCTTTTAGCTAAAATCAGGAATAAATCTTTGAAGTTTTCCCTCACTATTCAGCCAGCTAACTAGGCAACATCTAGTGATATTGGTGGCGTTAATGTCCACAAACACCTACACAGGCGCTGGCAGGTGAACAAAATGAAGAGACATGCAATAATTATGCTAAATGAAAGCTATAGACAGAGCCGGCCCAAGGCATAAGGGAGTTGAGGCTCAGAGGGCTCCCAAGAGCAGCAAGCTAGATTGACTTTATATCAACCCATAACCATAAATTTAGTGTTTATCAGCTGATATTACTTTCAAATAACATCAAATATTACAAATCTGCATTTCAGAATTCAATAAGGCAGGTGGGAATTTACACAACTCATGATTGTGAAGCCATACAAAGTGATTCACCTGAGTAATTTGGCATTTGCTTAAGCAACAGCAAAATAATAAAAAAATATCTCTCTCTGTGTGGGTATGGATGATTCTTGAGATTAAACCTGCATCAGTTTTCAGTATCAAAGGTCATTGCTACATGCTCAAAAAAAAAAAAAAAGATCCAAGAGCTTGCATGACAAATTAAACGACATGCAAACTGCAAGAGTCAAAAAAAT